CTCACTACAGTGTGGCAGTGCATGGTGCCAGGCTCCCTAATCGATGTAAGACATCCAACCTAAACCTCTCCCTGCAGCTGCAGGGAATGGAAGCATCTCCTGAGTCAGCAGTATTGGCCTTGCTGTCCTTGGGGTGGTCTGGCTGTGGCTGGGACAGCCTTATTGTGGCCATGCCTGAAATGCACAGCTAGAGCTCCAGAAGTGCTGTGGGCTCCCGGGAGTGTGCTCACCCTGAACATGGAGGTTGTGAGAGGGTGGTAGGGGTCTGCTTTTTCCTAATAATCCTAAAAATGGGATGGCGGGGAAGGGAGATAGAACACAGTACTTAGCTAGAAAGAGAGAGGCTGGTTTTCTTCCCTCCCTTCATCTCATCATTTTCTTTCTCTCAGTGCAATGCTCTGTAGCCCTCCTGCTGCTAAAGCCTTCCTGAGACTCTCTCTGTCTTCCCGCTGTTTGCCTCTGTGGCTGTGGCTTCCCTGCTCAGCACCAGCAGCCCACAGCAGGGAAGAATCCTTTGGGGAAAGCAGCGAGGCCCCCAGGGCGTTTGCCGGCAGCGATCATCCCCACAGGCTCTGCCAGCCTGCAGCTGGCAGCTGTGTGTTCCCGGGAGCCTTCAGTGAGGCCACCAAAATACAGATGCTGCAGAGCTGTCAGGCTGGAATATTCCCACAGGCATTGACCATGCTGCTGCTCTTTTGCCCAACTAGGCAGCCCCGCCCACTATGTCTAAATTAGGGATCTTTGCCCACTATTGGGATCTTTGCATTTTCCCCAATATAGAAATCTAGATTATAACCAGTAGCTGAAAAATCACCAGTCTGTTGGTTGTGACTGCAGTGTTCAAACCAACTCTTCTATCAATCCGCTAGGAGAAGACAGTAATCTACAAGAAAAGTTCTCAATGTTTTTAAGCTTTCTCTGTTCCCCAGCCTCTGCTAAAATACCCTGTTTCTCCTTCTCCCTGGCATTCAGAGCTACGGGCAGGAGTGAACCATATCTGAAGTTTCCTCCCTGGACCTGAAAAAGGAGTGGAGAACCTATGTAAGTGCAGGAGGAGCAGAGATGGACAGTGGAGAAGATAGGATGATGAAGCTGATGATAATTATATTACAGGCTACAGGTACTAAAGCTGTGAGAAACCAGTATGAACTGTAGAAGGACTGGTATGTATGGTTGGAGCTATCACCATGAGAGACAGTTTGAGTCCAAGATAAAGTGTATCGGTGTGAATTGTGAGGCACTGTAATTAATGTCAGGCTGAAAGGGCCAGAATAATTTGTGGGACTGGGAAGATACAGGGTTGAGAAGCGTACAATTAATTGATGTTGAGATGGTAGGCATGCAGGAACCTCTGATTTAGCCATTTGGAATTTCGGGAAAAAATGAGTCTTTTGTGCGACCAGACAGAAGTCTGTGCAAACACATGTAATTTATGTGAGTTGTAGGATATTTGTCATTGTTGCAAAATGTTGCCTGTTTTGAAATGCTAATGGCATCTTGCATCACTGGGCCAAATTCTGCTTCAGTTACACTAGTGTACTGACAAATTCACCAGGGCTGCTCAGACAAGAGAGTAAAATGTAAGCAACTGACATGTTAATTTTTGAAGTCATGTTGAATAGCAGTCATTGACAGCATGTTAAGAACATCTACACTGCAGTTCTTAAATCAGTGTTTTTTTCTAAGCTACAGAAAACTTGTGAAAAATCCTAATGTTTGACTCTCAAATTGCATACATTCATTTCTTACTGATGTAGAACTAAAGATGCCCGTAAAGTTACTGCAGAATTATATTGATAAAGTGGAACTATTCTCTATGGAACCATATTATGCAAAATCAAATGCAAAGGAAATTTAGACTCTTTTTAATAACCTGCAGGTAAATCAGAAGGATATTTGTATGCCTGCTACAGGAATATAAATGGAAAGAGGAACTATTTACATTTGAAAAGAGATGCATCCATACTTTCCCATGTCAACACTAGCGCTGCCCACTATCTCTAGGACCTTGTGCAGCAACACATCTAACAAACCTGTGGTGGGTTGACTTTGGCTAGAGCCAGGTGCCCACGAAGCTGCTTTATCGCTCCCCTCCTCAGCAGGACAGGATGGGGAGACAATAAGATGGAAAAAACTCGTGGGTCAAGATAAAGGCAGTTTAATAAAGTAAAAGCAAAGGCCACATGCAGAAGGAAAGGAAAACAAAATATTTATTTGCTACTTCCCATCAGCAGGTAATGTCCAGCCACTTCTTGGGAAGCAGGGCTTCAGTATGCGTAGCGGTTGCTCCAGAAGACAAACATCGTAATAACAAGTGCCTCCTCCCCCCCTGCCCCAGCTCCTCCTTTCTCTTAGGATTGCTGAGCAGAAGTCATATGGTATGGAATATCCCTTTGGTCAGTTTGGGTCAGCTGTCCTGGC